CAAACAGTTATTTCTGCACATACATGGAATAAATTCACCACAACTTCTGTTCAAAATATAAGAGTTTATTAACAAAAATCATTCAGCTCCACGTCAAACATATTTCAGTTTAATACTCAACAGCAGGGGTTCTTTGTCTGAGTCATTCATCAAGACAGGGTAGGCCTTCTCTCCAGTCTGGCTCTATAAGTTCTAAAACTCAGGAGAAATGTGTTGCAAAAGGTCTGTTTGCAGCCGTTTGGTCCTGAAAGGTTTTGACTTATTCTTGATGGTTCTGGAGATCTGGTTCCCCTGGGGCCCGCATCTCCACTGTGGTGGAGAACCAGCCATAGCCGACCCCAGCTTCCTGGGCAAGGAAGAGGAGGCAAAGAGAGCAGGAGCAGAAGAGAGCAGGAGCAAAAACGAGAGAACTCTGTGTGCTCTGTGGTTTCGTCTGTCCTCACACAGAGACGGGGTGGTTGGTTACACCTCTGTGCCTTGCCATGTGACGTGCCTGTGGAGGCCTTGGCTGAAACAGGGGTTGTTGCAGAGATTCCACAGCTGATTCCACATCATCATGTCAAGATGAAATATAGACACTGATTCGCAATGTCCAAAAAGTATGATCATGGCATATGGCACAACAGTGGCGCACACTGAAACATGCTGAAGTACACTGAAACACGATGAACTACACTGAAACACACTGAAGTAGGCTGGCAAATGCTAAAGTAGGCTGGCACATGCTGAAACATACTAAAACATGCTGAAACACGCTGAAGCATACTCAAACATGCTGAAGTATGTCGAAACACGCTGAAGTAGGCTGGCACATGCTGAAACACGCTGAAACATACTAAAACATGCTAAAGTATGCTGAAACACTCTGAAACATACTAAAACATACTAAAACATGCTGAAACACGCTGAAACATGCTGAAGTATGCTGAAACACGCTGAAACATGCGGAAACACAATGAAGTACATTGAAACACGCTGAAGTCGGCTGGCACATGCTGAAACACGCTGAAACATACTAAAACATACTAAAACATGCTGAAATATGCTGAAACACGCTGAAGCATGCTCAAACATGCTGAAGTATGCGCCAATGAGCTGAAGTATGCTGAAACAAGATGAAGTATGTTGAAACATGCTGAAGTAGGCTGGCAAATGCTGAAATATGCTGAAACATGCTGAAACATACTAAAACCTACTAAAACATGCTGAAATATGCTGAAACACGCTGAAACATACTAAAACATGCTGAAATATGCTGAAACACGCCGAAACATACTAAAAGATCCTGAAACATGCTGAAATATACTAAAACACACTAAAACATGCTGAAACACGCTGAAACATGCTGAAACACAATGAAGTACATTAAAACACGCTGAAGTCGGCTGGCACATGCTGAAACACGCTGAAACATACTAAAACATGCTGAAATATGCTGAAACACGCTGAAACATACTAAAACATGCTGAAATATGCTGAAACACGCTGAAGCATACTAAAACATGCTGAAATATGCTGAAACACGCTGAAACATACTAAAANACCAGCTGATTGCATCGACTCATTGACTCTTCAGCAATCCCTCACACTAAGCATGCTTGTAGCGACAGTGGAGAGGAAAAACTTCCTTTGAACAGGAAGAAACCTCCAGCAGAACCAGGCTCAGTGTGAGCGGCCATCTGCTGAGGCCCACTGGGGTTCAAGGAGACATACATCAGATCCAAACATGCATTTTATGGTCTTTATGTGTCTTTCAGAGCATCATGGAGGAGGCGGAGCTGCTGAAGGAGAGGATCCAAGCCATCACGGTAAATAAACACACCTCTAACATTGACCAACAAACATGCTGAAACATGCTGACACACACTGAAGTACACTGAAACACCCTGAACTATGCAGAAAAAACGCTAAACACTCTGAAGTATGCTGGCGTACGCTGAAACACGCGAGCATACGCTGAAACACACATGCGTACGCTGAAACACACGGTCATACGCTGAAACACACTGAAGTATGCTGGCGTACGCTTAGACACACTGAAATACGCTGAAACACACGGTCATATGCTGAAACACACTGAAGTATAATGAAACACTCTGAAGTATGCTGGCATACGCTTAAACACACTGAGATATGCTGAAACACACTGAAGTACACTGAAACACTCTGAAGTATGCTGGCGTACACTGAAACACACTGGCATATGCTGAAACACACTGAAGCACACTGAAACACTCTGAAGTATGCTGGCTCACACTGAAACACACTGAAATACGCTGAAACACACGGTCATATGCTGAAACACACTGAAGTATAATGAAACACTCTGAAGTATGCTGGCATACGCTGAAACACACTGAAGTACGCTGAAACATACTGAAGTACGCTGAAACACACGGTCATATGCTTAAAACACACTGAAGTATATTGAAACACTGAAAAATGCTGGCGTACGCTTAAACACACTGAGATATGCTGAAACACACTGAAGTAGGCTGAAACACACTGAAATACGCTGAAACACACGGTCATATGCTGAAACACACTGAAGTATAATGGAACATTCTTAAGTATGCTGGCGTACGCTTAAACACACTGAGATATGCTGAAACACACTGGCATACACTGAGGCCCCGTCCACACAAAGTCAAACCCTGGCCTAAACGCACAAATTTTTCACCAAACCAGCCTCTCATC